AACATTATCTGTTGCTTTTTGGGACTGTTTTTATTATTGCTACAATGGCCAAAATCACCATCAAGAGGTTAAACAGGAGGGCAATCATGGCTGCCTGCCGTATAGTAATGTTGTCCTGCCTGCCCGCAAAATTGAGAACATTATCAAGCATACTTCCGGGAGTGCTGATGGTGCTAAGCCCCGTGAAAATGCCTGCGGAAATAGCTACTCCAAAAGCTGCACCTAATGAAGAGGCCATCTTATAAATTCCGGCCCCGGCGCCGGCTTGTCCGTCTGGTAAGTTGGAAAGTGCAGCATCTGTGGAGGGTGTGGCATAAAAAGCCAGGCCGACACCAAATAGTGTATAGGAAATGATCGCAAGTATTTTATAGGTACTTGTCATAGTAGTAGTAGGTAATAACAACATAATCGAAATACCTACAATAATACTGCCCCATATCATCGGCTTACGCGGGCCAAAGCGCTGTAGCAATTTTTCACCCAGGCGAATGAATGCCACAATGGAAATAGCGTAACCCAATGTAAGTAGACCGGCAGTTTGCGAGGAAAGGTTGCCTCCGACCTGCAACAACATGAGCGACACTATGAGCATTCCAGCCACACCGTTCAATAAAAAGTTGGAAATTGTTGCACCGGTATAAACAGAATTTTTGAGCAACTTAAAATCGATAAAGGCTCCATGTTTACCATTTTCGATGGTAAAGAACGCAAAGCCAAACAGGAGAATGATCGCAACCAGGATCATTGAAGTCAAACTCGTCCAGCCCATGTCACTTCCTTTTATCACCAGCACTTGTAACGCGATCATAACAATCATAAAAGTGAGAATACCCGCTAGGTCTGGTTTGGACTTTACGTCTGTATGTGTGGCTTTACTTTCAGGTGTGGCCCTTATCATACCCCATCCTATAATTGAGATTAGCGCAGAGGAGAAAAAGATATATCGCCAGCCAATGTTCTGTGCCATCAATCCACCAAAAAGAGCGCAAAATCCCGAGCCTCCCCATGAACCCATTGACCACAGACTAATTGCCCGTTGACGGCCTGCACCCTCCCAATACGATTTTAATAAAGCGAGGCTGGCAGGCATAATACACGCACCTGATAATCCCTGGAATATTCGCCCACCAATAAGTATAGGTGCTGCGAGCGCCCCTGCCGGAACCAATCCAACCAGCAATGAACCAATAATACTAAAGATAAAACCAACTTTAATGATTCTCAACCTGCCAATACGGTCAGCAAGACCTCCCATGACAACGATAAAGATCCCCGAAAACAAAGAGGTAATCGATACGGCAATATTCATCAGGGATGGTTCCATTTGGAGGTCTTTTGCCATGTCGACGTTAATGTTCAACGTTGTTTGTGCAAATAGCCAAAAAGCCAGAACACCAAGAATGATTCCGAATAACAATTTGTCATTCCCGTTGTATTGTACTGTATTCATAAAAGCGTATTAAATTAAATAAGGTGGCCTTTGTTTCCAGGAGATACAAAAATCTATGCCGTTACTATAAAATACAGCCTGTTGGAGAGAGAAAAATGTCCGGTCATACCATTTGTCGGCTTGAAAAGTTGAAATGCGCCTTTGCAAAAACCATAGTCGATACAACAATGGTCTTGCCTAAAGGTAGCAAATCCAATAATTCAGCACCTTTTTATTCTGTCGGCATAAAATTTCAGCATCATAATATAACACGAAATGAAAAAATTCTAACCTGTTCAATAAGGCTGACCCAGGCGCTTAGTTAATCTGGTAAACCAAATTGTGTGTACTCCACTCAGGACGATAATAACCCCTGCCAC